TTCATATTCGTTTTGAATTGAGTTACAATCAATCGAAACTTAAGGTAGAGATTCAAGGGGGCTTTAATTTATAAAGTTGGACTGAGGGTAACATGACAACATGGGCTGTCAGGGCACTTTTTAATTTAGCAAACCATGCTGCCCATAACTAGGGGAATAAAATAATGAAATTGGGATGTAATGGGGTAACTAACACTTCTATCTTGGTTTCTCTATGAGTGGAAAAATCAGAGGGGGTGATGGGAGGAAATACTTTCTTAATAGTTAAATGCTTTTAGGAGGTGGAAAGTAGAGAACATGGGGGGATGATAAAAAGAAAATGGGTACACATAGTAAGGGGGGAGGCTGGAAAGAAAAAAGGAGGAATGAAAGGGAGTTGATGCTAGTCTTTAAAAAGGGACACAGGCATTGAGATACAAGGGGGAGAGAGACCTAAAAGCTTAGGAGATTGAAAGGAGAACATTCTAAGAACTCTAAGGAGTAACACTGTTCCATTGAGTGATTGGGGATTTCTAAAGTTTCCTTAAGGCTGAAACAATTTCTGGTTAGCTGATAGTTGAAATAAGTTGAAGTCAAGTCAGGTTAAGGTCTTTTGCTCATGTGTTTGGATTGAAACTGTTTTCTGGGCTGGTATTTCACTTTTCTGGGTTGGAAACTGATTGAAAACTGTTGCTGACCACTATTCTTGCTACTATTCTGCTGTTGTCTCCTCATCCTCTGTGTTGTTTTCGAATTCCATGTACATATCTTTGACTCTAGGCATGTAAAGGTGGTGGACGTGATCTTGAAATGAAGGTCTCCCTTCTTATTAGCTGTTTCTTTCTTCATTTGCCTTATTCCACCTGATTTGTTGGTCTAATCTTCCTGTTATAACATGTTTAAAACAAGGCCATGCTGTGAACTTTGAGGCTTGACTTGAAAATTTTTAATTGGACCCTTGTTTGGTATTTGCTGATTCTGTTTCGTCTTTCTGTACTCACTTACTAAAGAACAAGTCTGCGTGGTTGAGAATCTGAGTGTGATCTTGAAGTCCAAGTACTTTATATGTTGATTTTTTGGGATTCTGATGGCATTGAGGAGAGTTTTATCGAAGTTCAGGTTTTTCTTAAGTAGTAGTTAGTATAAAACGCATGTGAGGAGAAAGAAAAAATGGTTGAGATTTTTTTAAGAGCCTGCAGTGATTTACTTTGATTGGCATATGAGCATGTTTTTAGTTAAAACTGGTATCCGAATTTCAGAATGCTCAGACAGTTTATTCAGGATTCAATTTGTAGAAAAATGCAGAAGTATCATGTTAGCTCAATGGCATGTTTCATTAGTTGTGATTGAATTTTGCATTTTTGAATGAGCTTGTACCAACGATTGGGCTCTGAAATCTGGGCTTAAAATGAGCCCAGCAAAAGAATATCCTTCCTCGAATCCATGGTACGTTCTGAGTCCAGAATAGGGCTCATCTTGGACCCCGGATGAAAGGCTTCAGGCAAATGGGGTTGATGACCCAAAACGTGTTCTTCTTTCCTAAATAATCAGCCTTGTCTCTCTTTAGAACATTTCCCTATTAATTAGTTTGGGTGCCATATAAAATGGAATTCAGTCCTTTTAATGTTCAAGTAATTAGAACCCTTCAATTATTTGAGGGATGCAGTATTAAGCAAAATACAGTCATGGCCTTAAAAATTTAGTTTAAGCTCCCTTTTAAAATTAGAAACGAGGTGCACCGTGCCAGATAATAATCTCAAATTACATGGTCCTCGCTTTAGTTAATCTTATTTACCCTAGAACTTGAATAGCGTCGTCTAGTAAATTTCATGGCCCTTGCAAAGTTGCAAACACGTAGTTGCTTTAGGTGCGCTACTTAATAATTTATCTTCCTAAACTCGGGTGCGCATTTATGCTACCCAAATCCAAGTCTCAACAACGTTAGATAAAATATATCGTGGACCGCGGGTGCATTTATGTGACGTGGTTCGAGACATATTTTAAATGACGTTGCAATCTTCCTTTAAAAATGAATAGAAGCGGTTAAAAGTTAAAATTGCACATAGGATTAAACATGTTTAAAATCAGATAATTAGGCCAATAATAACAATTGAGCGACCGTGCTAGAACCACGGAACTCGGAAATGCCTAACACCTTCTCCCGGGTTAACAGAATTCCTTACCCGAATTTCTGGTTCGCGGACTGTAATACAGAGTCAACCTTTTTCCTCGACTTGGGATTTGAACCGGTGACTTGGGACACCATAATTATCCGAGGTGGCGACTCTGAATCTTTTAATAATAAATCCCGTTTCGATTGTCCTTTAATTGGAAAAACTCCCTCTACGCCCCTGCAGGCGCAGGTGAAAAAGGAGGTGCGACAGCAATTCTAGAGGTTCTTGAGTTTCTTTTGAAATCCATGCGTTTTAGTGTCTGAATAGATGTTTTTTTTGTAATTTGATTGCGCGAGCGAGTTCGTATGATATTTTTAGACTTGTGTGGATGTTTGATTTGAAGCCCCGAGGGTTCAAGTGAGTTTCAGAAATATTTCTCAAAGGTTTGGACCCAATTACAGGTTGCTGGTATGCGGATACCTCAGGTGTCAGAATTGCGAACACCAGCATCACAATTGCGATCTTAGCAGAGGGCCTCAGATGTCGCATTTGCGATGCCTGGATTGCAATTGTGAAGTAGTACCTAGGCAGAGTGGGCTCGCATTTATGATAATTATGTCGCATTTGCGATAGGAACAGGCTTCGCAAATGCGAAGCTGATGTTGTATTTGCGACTTACCACTTAGGCTGTCACTAGCCGCAATTGCGAGGCTTTCTTTGCAATTGCGAGGGTTCGCAATTGCGACATCTACAACGGAACAAAGGGCTGGAAAGTCGGGATTTCATCATATTTCTCTCATTTTAGAATCCTAGACTCGACAGGAGGCGATTTGGAGAGGGAGTTTTTACATATTATCATTGGATAAGTAGTTTTAATCAATTTTCAACTATATTTCATGATTATATATGAGATCTAACTTCAAATTTATGAGAATCAAAGAGAGATTTTGGGGATTTTTGTCTAAGTTTTGAAAAATAAAAAGTTAGAATTTTAGAGTCGAATTGGACTCAGATTTGAAAATAAAATACATATATAGACTCGTGGGGTTATGGGTACTAAAGATCTACCCCTTGACTCAGGTTTTGACCGGGCAAGCCCGAGGTTGACTTTTGTTGGCTTTTGGAGAATTGTGTAAAGACCATAGCTTTATTAATCGTAATTGGTTTCTCTTGCATTTGTTGATGTTATTAAGTCATTTTTTGTTAGATTTGAGCAGTGTGGAGGCAGATCTTAATTGAAGGCTATTTTTGAGTGCTGATTTGGCCTAGTCAAGGTAAGTATCTCGCCTAACTTTGTGTGGAAGAACTACCCCTTATGATTTGGGTTGATTGTACTATTTGAATTATGTTGAATACGTGTACACGAGGTGACGAGTGCGTACGAGTTTATATGTGGTATTTGACCGGTTGAGACTCTTAGCAATTTAATTCTTTTATTTCCATTATAAGATTATATATCATATTCTGTTCAGGCTTTCTTTTATCCAGTAGGTGTTCTGATCTGGCCTCGTCACTACTCTACCGAGGTTAGGTTTGATACTTTCTGGGTACCGTTGTGGTATATCATGCTACGCTTTTGCATATATTTATGCAGATCCAGGTACATCTGCTCGTGCCAGACACTAGTGATTGACCAGTTATCTCGGAGACTTTAAGGTATACCTGTTAGACGCTCGTAAGCCTCAGAGTCACCTTCTTCTTTTGCTTTACTACTGTTTATCTTTATTCCAAATAGAGTTGTATTTAGAGATTATGAGTGCATTCTCTGTAGAGCTTATGACTCAGTTCTACCGAGTTTTGGGAGTTATTTGACAGTTGTACTTTTTGGATTTATTTATGATAGTTTAATAGTTTGATTTGATATTGAAGTTATTCTTGCTAATTATCAATATATGTTAATCTTCAAGACTAAGTGCTATCACGATATTTTAAGGAAAAAAATTATGGTCGTGACATAAAAGCAAATGATTAAGCAGCAGTTTTATTTTATTTTATCTGTTGAATGTTATTCCCCCACCTCCTCCTACCCCAACTATTTCTAGGTCTTCTTTTCTACTCAATTGCTTTGCAGTAGTGATTCATTTATCTCAATTCTAGTTTTTTTTCTCTTTGGTACTATCGACTTTTTTGCTCTTTTTTTGTTTTGGAGTTTTTATTCTTCCTTACTTTATTTAATTTATTGATGCAAAAGGAAGAAAAATCCGGTTCCAAAAAGACTCCAAATTAGCCTTCTTGATGACTCGAAACAATTTCCAGAACCACACCACAAATGACTTTTTTAATAACATTGGTGGTGAATTTTAAATAATTGTTTGGTTTACTAGGTAGAGTGTAAAGTATTTGCAAGTGTAAGCAATGGCAAAATTATTTATATAGTTTTGAAAATGTAAAAAATTGTCGAGTATTTTTATGATCTGTGACTGAATTTTTTTAATAGCAGTAATACTAATTATAGTTTCCTCCGTTAACTTTAAGTTCTACATTTATGGAAGGGGCGGAGGTACAGTAGTGGGTGCGGGTTCGGCCGAACCCAGTGACTTTTTCCGAAACCCTGTATTTATATTGAAAAACTTGTCACATCTATATAAATATATCATGATGAACCTAGTAATCAAAAGAGGTTTGGGTTCAATGGTAAGGGTTGTGGGTTCTTTGGAAAAGATGTGGGTTCGATTCCCATATAAAGCAGTGCTTTATTTTGGTGTTGTTTTTTTACGTTTTTTAACAAATCAAAATGTGAGCGACGACGTTTTCTTCTTAATAAACAAAAATCATAAGCTTTCCAGCTTTAACGTTTCTTCTGACTTTCGTCTCAACAAACACTACAATAATATTATTTAATAAATAAAATACAACAACTTGTTTTCTTTCTAATAAACAAAGACCAGAAGCTTTCCAACTTTAAACACAAACGTTTTCCTCCAATTCCCAAATCAAAAAAAAAAAACTAGGGTTCTGCTCAGCTGCTGCACCTCTGCCTGTGCGATTGATTGACAATCACTGGTACCACAATCTGTCGGACGCCCTCCAACTCTCCACTGTGTATCAGTGTATGCTCTTTATCCCTTAGAAGTTAGACCCTTCTAAGTTCTTCCTTCTTCAATTCTTATTTTCTGATTTTTTGCTTCATGTTTTAATCTTATATTTTATATTTGATAATTTATGCAAAATTTAATTTTTAATATTTGATTCTAGGGTTGTCTCATAGTTTGACCTCTATTCTCTTTGTCAATTTATGAGAACTAACTAGCTACACTAAGTTTTTAAATTTTGGGAACAAATCATATTATAGTTACAAATTGAACTATGTCAAAGGAGATAAAGAATAGTTTGTTATAGCATTTGAAACATAAAACTTCAAGTGAATTTGTTTTTTCTGATTTTTAGGTTTTTCTAGCAAAAATCGCTATGATATCCTCCTAAAGTGTGGGATTATGAGTCCGATCCTGCTAAAAGAAAATCAATTTCAGAATATCCTCCTAATTTACGTGACCGCATAAGGAGAAATTATATACAAAATGGACCTTGTCAACCTCGTGGTTTGTCTTCCCAAAAAGAGATTTTGGAGGAATAATGCGTTACTTTAGTCCTAAATGGTTTAAAACTTCATGTTCTCAATGGTTAGAATATAGTATTAAACAAGATGCAACATTTTGTTTATGTTGTTATTTGTTTAAAAAGGAGGTTGGAGGATATGGAAAAAAAGTAGGTGATGCTTTCACAACGATGGTTTTAGAGGTTGGAATAAAGGTTTAGAAAGGCTTAAATCACATGTGGGTGACATGAGTAGTGTTCATAATCGATATTTCAAGATGATGCTAGATTTAATTTGATGAGCCAAACACAATCCATTCTAACTTCTTTGGACAAGCAATCGGAGAAAATTAAAAGTGAACATCGAGTTCGTTTGAATGCTTCAATAATGTGATAAGGTATCTTTTGAAAGAAGGAATTCCTTTTCGGGGCCATGATGAGAGTGTAACTTCTACTAGAAGAGGAATTCCTTTTCGGGGCCATATATTGTGTTTGTCTTTTGTTGCTTTTTAAATATATATTAAATATCGATACTAATTTTTTAGTCAGTTTGATATTGTTTATTAGTTTTAGGTCATAGCCCTATTTTAAATTTTAGAACCCACACACTCTAAATCCTAGCTCCGCCTCTGATTTATGGTATGCTATTCATAAAAATTTATGTCTAAAAAAAAAAAAGAAACACGCATGATCTTAATATTTTGGATTGACTACTCAGTGAACATGGTGGTACTTGACGAACTATTGATTGAAATTTCTAGATATGTCCCCTCCATATTGGTTCAAAACAAATGTAATAATTAAAGAAAAGGAAGCTCATGAGTGATTCGAAAAGCCAATTTGGTATTGTTGATCCATCGGGTACTGTTAGCTATCACGGAAAACTATGCTAGATCAACTATAAAAATATATTCCATATTATTGCCTAGTTTTCTCTCTTTCTCTTCCCCCTCCCCCCTCCCTCCTCCCTTTGTAGCCAAATCTTTGACGTTTTCTTTAAATAATACTCCCTCCGTTTCAATTTATGTGAACTCATTTGACTGGACACAGAGTTTAAGAAAAGAGAGAAGACTTTTGATTTTATGGTGTAAAATAAGGCACATATATTTTGTGTGGCTATAAGTCATTTTGTAAAGGTAAATTGTTTCCAAATAAAAAAAAGGGTCATTTTTTTTTTGATACGGACTAAAAAGGAAATAGATTTACATAAATTGTAGGGAGTACTATAAGATGTCACCGCTAGTATTCCCAAGGAGGGGACAGAGGGTAGCAAATCTAAGACCCCATTAAGCATATGCACATGGCTAGGCAAGGAAGTTGGTAGAACACGATATCTAATATAATAAGAGACACTAAAATAAATCAATCATTTGCTAGCCAGTGCTTAAACACGTTTGAATGTGGAATATCTAAAAGGAGAGACACTAAAATAAATCAATCATTTGCTAGCCAGTGCTTAAACACGTTTGAATGTGGAATATCTAAAAGGAGAGACACTAAAATAAATCAATCATTTGCTAGCTAGTGCTTAAACACGTTTGAATGTGGAATATCTAAAAGGAGATTCACAAAATCAGGAGCAATTTGATGCTAGTGAGCTGTAAGTGGCCATAATTTTAATTAATTAATTAATTATATTATTATGTTGTTAATATGTCTTCTTATGTATAGAAATACTTCTTTATTCATGGGCCAAACACATAATTAATGTTTTTACTTTTTGGATGATGGTGAGATTTGAATTCAAGACCTCTGGACTACTCTTATACTAATCGAATTATGTGATCCTTTCGTCTAACATGTTACTGTCACTACCCAATTCTATTACAGGCTATGATTGCGCCCAACACCATTGCTAGGCAAGCCAACACCGAACAATCTAGTGATTTCCCGTTTAGTAAGTTAGCCAAGTGAATAACTTTCCTCATTTTAAAAGATTTATGAAATAACAGTTGTAAAATACGTAAACAGAAGCAATTGAGTACAAATCGAAATCATACAGTGAATCCAAAAATCATGAGTCTACTGATGTGTGTGCCAAGACCCGGTGTTACAAGTATATAGGTTACTAGTAGGATATAAAAAAGAATTCTACTCTACTGTCTGAAATAGAATAGATAGAAAATAAATCAAAAGAGAGACTCCGACTGCTGCTGAATGGCTCGGAAAGGCAACTCACCGTGTAGTCTCGATCATAAGTCAAGCATGCGCGCCGAACTGATAACCAGATATACCTGCCTCAGATCCTGCACAATTAAGTGCAGAAGTGTAGCGTGAGTACATAAACAACATGTACCCAGTAAGTAGTCAGTCTAACCTCGAAAAAGTAGTAACGAGGGGTCGACTTTGACATTTACTATGGGCTAACAATGATATATTAAAATCTTATACTAGTCATGGATTTAATGAATACTGAAAATTCAATAGCATGAAGTTGTAAATTCTTCTTTTTGCAAATATTAAGTCTCAAGTTTAGTTTCATCATTTAACAACTTGTATTTCAATACATTTAAGCAATATCCATCATGAATAGCTCCAAAGGTTATCATGCGCAAATTATGTCGAGGTCGTACGACCCGATCCAATATAATATTTAAATTGCGCCCTGCCCAGAGTCGAACGACACGAGTCATAGATGCATCTATCTGCTACCGAGGCGTTCAGCTCGCTCCACAATTAGAAAATATTTCAAATAAAATCACAAATTCTCATTATAGTCAAATGTTCCATTCACAACTTCAAGTAGGTGAGTTTAAGCTTTTACAATTCTTTTATCAACTTCTAACATGACTTAAGCAATTAATTCAACAAGTAGGGGCACAAACATTTCAAGTATAGCATGGTATAGGTCCTAGACTACCTGGACAATAGCATAACTAGTAGCTATGTGCAGACTCTCGTCACCTCGTACATACGTAACACCCATACATAGGAGCACATATTAGTTATAATTCACCTATGGGGCTAATTCCCTCTTACAAGGTTAGAAAAGAGACTTACCTCGTCTCAAGGCCTACTTTCCGGTCCAAGGTTGTGCTCAAACCCCCAAATTTGGTGCCAAATGACTCAAAACTAGTCAAATATTATATAAAGTAATCAATTTATGCTCAAAAGTTCATACCCCAACTATTAAAGTGATTACCCAATTCTAAATGTAAGATTCTTAAAATTTACCTCCGGGTCCAAGTGCCCGGATTCCGGAAATTTTTGAAGAAAGTTGTTATCCACAACTTCATGAACTTAAATATATGATTATTACTAAATTCTATAACCAATTTCGTGGTTAAATATCATTTTTATCAAAAACCTTGATTTTCATCTAAACTTTTGATTTTCACTAATGTTTACATCTTAATCTACCCATAATCTATGTATTTAACTCATGTTGTGTAGAAACTACTTACCTCAAAGTGCTAGGTAAAAATCCTATTCCAAAAGCTCTAAAATTCGCCCAAGACATGAAGTGAAATGAGATAAATGGTCTAAGTCCCGCATTAAATGAGCTGGCATAGTTCTCTGATGTCGCATTTGCAACACCAGGTTTGCAAATGCGAAGGTCGCAAATGCGACAAATACCAAATGCGGACCCTGGGCTTTAGCTGCTCAGGTCGAAAATGTGACGGAGGGGTCGCAAATGCGAACACTGCCAGGTCGAGCTTCTTTGCAATTACGAAGCTCTTTTCGCAAATGCGAGGTTCACATTTGCGAACAATTTCTCGCATTTGCGAAACCTGCAATTGCTGCCAAGAAACACCCGAAAATTGATGTGTTTTTCATCCTTCTGAATGTCTGAAACTTACCCGAGCCCTCGGGGCTCCACACCAAACACCCACACAAGTCTAACAACATCATACAAACTTGCTCGCGCGATCGGAACACTGAAATAACATCAAAAACCATGAATCGGACGCCAAAACGCATGGATTAATTTATGAACTCAAAAACTTCTAAAAACACTTCCGCGCGTCCGATGCCTATCAAATTAATTTGGATTGATGCCAAATTCTGCGTGCAAGTCTTAAATGACATTATAGACCTATTCCAACTTCCAAAACTGGAATCCGAACCCGATATCAAAAGGTCCACCCTCGGTCAAACTTTCCAAAAACTTCAAATTTTTAACTTTCGCCAATTGACCTCGAAACGACCTACGGACCTCCGAATCCACTTCCGGACGTGCTCCTAAGTCCAAAATCACCATACGGAGCTATTCCCAGGCACGAAATCCCAAACGGACGTCTAGAATGTAAAAGTCTACTTCAACCCAAACTTATAAAATTCACTCAAATGCCAACTTTCACTATTAGGCATGCCAAACGGACATCTAGAATGTAAAAATCTACTTCAACCCAAACTTATAAAATTTACTCAAATTCCAACTTTTGCTATTAGGCACCGAAACGCTCCCGGATCATCCAAAATCCGAGCCGAACATACGCCCAAGTTCGAAATTATCATACAAACCTATTGGGCCCATCAAATCCTGAATCGAAGGTCGTTTACTCAAAATGTTGAC